AACCAAAGCAAGAACGGAATTTTAAAAGGCATTTGTAAAAGACACGTTTGTGTGTCAGTCTTTCTGTATGCATGCATCCTTTTCCTTCTGGCAGTAGCAATGTAGATTACCTCGATGCTATCCTTTCCAATCCAACAGCACAAGTAGTAATCTTCTTTCTTATCATTAGAATGGTAGGTGTAAAGAATGATGTGGCAATCTCCACTGTAAAATTTGCCAATGTCCTCTTTGAGCACTGAGGTCTTGGCACTTCCATTAATACGCCATACCTGGAAAACAGGTATATTATTTGTCTTATGCATCCGAGTTTTAATCACCCTTTGAATACACCCCAAAAAACCACGATGGAAACAGAAACAAATTATCCACCCAAACCTCAATTTTTCCACCACCTTCAAGCAAAGGTGGGACTTCTTCATTTACAGGAGCACCTTTGGTCACTCCTTTGACACCAACTCCTTGCTGCTTTAGCATAGCTAGCAATACGAAAACAGTTTGATAAATAACAACTATAAACAGAAAATATTTCGGAGCATTTCATGAGTAAGGATGTGAATCTACCTGCTACTTTTCCTCTTCCCTCCTCAGAAGCAGAAGGTGCTGAACCTGATGGCCAGGTATCAAAGTTGGACTTGAAGGAATGTGTTTCATAACCTTGAATTAGCTGGATCATACGTGTTGACTTTGGCCTGTTTTGGCTAGCAACAAATTCCTGGGACAATATTAAAAACAAGAATCATAATGCTATTAGCATAACATAAAAGGGCAAATGACATTACAAACAACATGAATATACAAAAATTAAGCTTTACCTCAGCAGCTTGGCTGGCAGCTTTCCGATCCTCCACTTGTGTTACCCGACCGACCCAAATAAACACCTCAGCCCCACAATCCAATAGATAGCATTTGTTGTTTTCCAATAAAGACTTGGAAAGTTCACCATCTACACCCTTAACTTGACCATCATCAATGCTGCAAACCATAGGCTATCGAAAATTGGCACATAATACTACTAAATACCTACGTGTTACAAAGCTTCCCTTATAGTAACAACTAACAATTCTAATAGTGGAGAACATGTACACACAGAATGAGCAACCAAAAACTTGCATGGAGCAGAAAAATTGCTAAAGAAAAATCAAACAAATATAGAGCATAGCACTTTGGTATTATAAAAAAAAACACACTCAACTCAGAATAGTAAGCAAATTAAGCATGCAACTTCAATGAGATACTGAAGTATCATTCCTTAATGATGCCACTTATTGATGCTTCTCCTTAGAAATGAGCACCATATTGAACATGAGAAAATCGAGAAACAATTTTGAATTACAGTATATTCCTCTGGGTGAGAATTATATCAAACATAGAATTGTAAAAGCACCTGGAAACAGGTTTATAATTAGTCATCTCAGTCACTATGCACAACACATTAGCAAGCTAGATAAACCTTCCATAAGAAACATAGAAATGAGTTTAAGCAGGAATCTAAAACGCACCCAGAGTACTATCCATAGAAATTCCAAAAAGGATAATATAACACAGGAATTTGAATTACATCCACTTTATTCTGTTGTCACTATATGGCTGATGATGTAACTAATTTTAAACCACTCAAGAACGCATCAACCAACTTATAACAAATTGTGCACACCACAAAGACTACTTGGAGAGTTAATAGAATCCGATGCTCACTAATACCAATAAATAATTAAAATATATTTCAGCAATAACGCTGATTTTACTGTACATCTAGATAAGCTAAAGAACAAACAGCGTCAAAGAAATAGAAAAAATTTATGAATCTGACACATAGTAAAAGTAATGCATTAAATTGTGCACTCAGAAGAGAGACCCAAACCATTCCTGCATAAGAACAAAAAAGATTGCCACATGACTTTTTACCACTGCAATTACAGCTAAATAAAATAACTAGCAGACATCACGGCATAGCATCTTTTATCTTGAATATCTCAGGCTTCCCAGCTCACATTTATACTTGTAATAAAAATACATCAACATGAAAAATTTTTGATTAATTATTTTTCCCTCATAAAGAATTAAAAAGGTCACTTTATTCTTCTACACTTAATATCTAAATTACCATCATATCCTTATACATTTAAATCTCCAAATTACATATAAGATTACTTTTAATTATATATTCCCTATGTATAAATGCCAATTTTTATGAAATTTTTTGATTGATTATATTACTCTTAAAAAATATATGCATCATTACAAGTTTTAATAAAATATTCAAAAAAACTTTCATAAATTTTATCAATATAATATTACTCACCACATTTATAAAGATAATACTATGACTACATATGTATTTTTTTATTTTTCATCAAAATATTTAACCCTGTATTTATATTTTATTTTTCATCAAAATGTTTAACCTTTCATTTTTAAGATAAAAAATAATGCATATAAATTTTTACATAATTTTTTAGTCCCAATAAACTTTTTAGATTGTTTTACGATTTTATGTGAAAACTTAATTTTTTAAAAAATTTTAATATACTTTATAATATATATTATAACATTGTATATTAAATTTTATCCCAATTGACCTAGATATTCCTAAATACAATAAGGTTCCAACATGATTGGTATTTTGATAATTATTTTTATTTTATTAAATGATTTATAAGTGGAATCTTAATCAAATTAATTTTTTAATTATCTATTCTCTATTTATAAATGTCAATTTTTATGAAACTTTTTGATTGATTATATTACTCTTAAAAAATATATGCATTATTAAGAGTAATGCATATATTTTTTAAGAATAATATAATCAATCAAAATATACATATATATTCAAAAACTCCGTCAACATAATATTACTCATCTCATTTATAAAGATAATATTATGACTACATATGTATATTTTATTTTTTATCAAAATGTTTAACCATTTTATTTTTAAGATAAAAATAATGTATATATAGTTTTACATGATTTTTTAGTCACAGTAAATTTTTTAAATTGTGTTTAAGATTTTATGTGAAAACTTGAATTTTTTTAAAATTTTAATATGCTTTATAATATATATTATAGCGTTATATATTAAATTTTATCTCAATTGACCTAACTAATCCTAAATATAGTAAGGTTCCAGTACGATTAATATATTAACAATTATTTTTATTTTATTCAATAATTCATAAGTAGAATCTTAATCAAATTAATTTTAAAAAATTTAATTTTCAAACATTAAAATCACTTTCAATTACAAAATTATAAAAAAAAATAGAATTTTAATTATTTATTTTCTTTTTTCTATCATTTTTCTTAAAGTTATAATAACAAATCTTGAAAACATACAAAGTTTTCAAAAATTCTGTAATGGAGCATGACCGATGAAAAAATAAGTTTGGTAAATTTGAGATGATATTTAATTTAACTACACATATACTAAATATTTATTTATTAATTTTTTTTAAAAAATTATTCACATGCAATGCACCACGTGCATTGCTAGTATGGAATAAAAATCCACTCAGCCTTTTCACAACCAGCTAGTGGTCAGCTACATAAATCTTGTTTCTCCCTTCTGCAACATCTAGGGCTTTACTTTGAAATAAAACTAACTTCTACTTCGAACCACATTGCTTGATTTTTGCTTGGAAACTTAGCCAAACTATTCAACCTTTTCATCAAAGGAAGACAGTAAAAAAGTTGGAATTACACTCTTCCTATCCCTCAAAATCTTATTAGCCAGATTTTTTTTTTTTTTTGATCAAATACTTCAGCCAGATTCACTGGCATAAAAATTCAATCACTTTCACGGTTTCACCACTCTATTAATTTTCTCCTCCCCTTTGTCTGCTCACAATCAAAATTTAAAGGATATTCTCTATTCTCATGAAACCTTGGGGCTAATCATATGTTCATGCTCTTTGTACAAAATGATAATCCCCATCCATTGCGTAGAGATATATAGAAGTGATTTTTTCACTTTTCCTGCTTTAATAACAAATGATTTAATCTTATTGAAATTTGTTTTTAACTATATAAACCTAAGAAATTGTAAGTATTTGTGTTTTTTATCTGACCACTAAAGCAATTAGAATATCGAAGAAAATCACCACCACACTATAATATATAAAGCTACCTCCTCAATTGGAAACAAAAACAAAACTACATAAGAGAAGAATACCTATAGAGTTTGGGAAGAGTTTTCTCCAGGATAACGTCATCTTCACTAGCTACCTTTTTTCCAATTGGAGCAAATCCACCAAAGATGACCCAGAATTCACCAGAATCTGACTCGGCTTGTAGTTTTCCATCATCTGGCACAGTGAACATTTTAAAAATAACCAATGGATGATCAATTAGCAAACTACAAACAAAAATGGTAGGCAATAGAAAACTTAATCCAAGAAATCTAAATAAGTAGAGGCAGTGTTAAACAGGGGACAATAACATCGGTGAAGTTGTAATCATATATAAACTTACCAACAATTGCAACTTCACACTTCCCCTCGTGATACTGGTCCTTTAAAAACTGGATTACTTCCAATGCCTTGGCCCTTTCTTGTATATTGGAGTTTGCACCATTGAATTGAAAAATCTTATCTTTAGAGTCCAGGATAAACACATCATCATGATTAAGCGAGGATCGAGAAAAAGGGACCTACATAAAAAGAAAGACCAGTTCATATACCCATGATCTAATTAAATCTTCGTTGACAATTACTTCATCTAAAGAACTTGATGTTTTAATGTTCTCATACCTGCTTCAATCTGACAACTCGTTTTCCTCTGCAGACATATAACCGTGTTTCAAACTCTTCCTCCTCTGGTTTCTTGAATCCAGAGGCAACACCACCCTCCTGTGGTATAATACATGGTTTGAAGTACGACAAAAATTTGTCCGACTCATGACCTTGAACTTCTCTGTGCTGTACTGCACGCCCCCCAAGAACTGCATCCAGTTCCACAGTTTTTATAGCTGCCGTTCCAGCTTCATCCTATTATAAGTCCATAGTGTCATCAAATTAATAAATAAATGCATAATATCAAGTGAGAACATAATCCAAGGCAAGTGCAAGTTCTAAATAAGAACAGGAAGAATAACAAGATCATACCTGGCTAGTATCTTTTCCAAGCCAAAAGTGTATGTCATATAAATAAGCACCTCCCTTGCCAGGAGTGGTCTGCGGAAATATATAGTAAATAAAAAAAATGGATAATGCAAAAATACAACCCTTCCAGTGTAATTTTATTTTACCACAAAATAAATCAGACTGAAAAGACAATTGAAAATGTAAATTTGTCAACAAAATGGAAATGGAGATAAAAATTAAAATGAGTATGAAAACTGTATGCACCTGCAATATAATGTATGAATCACCGGAGTAGAATTTACCATAGCCAGATTTTGGCAAAGGAACTGGCTGGAAATTCTCAATTCTCCAAATTTCAGTCCCACTACAAGGTGTTAAGTACAACTCCAGAAGGGAAATGTGCAACTGCCAGAAGTTCAGCATTAAAAAAATTCCAGTCACAAAAAAAACACACACACATGCATGATATTTAGTTCTTTCTTTTGTCCTGGGAGGGAAAGTAAAATAATAGTATTTACCAAACCAATTCATCTACAACATGAAGTCCTACTTGTAAGGATACATTCTCTGACCCGCTCCTTGAAATGCAGGTTCCAAAGATTTTGCAGAGCTAGACATCTTGAAAAAATCTTTCCTATTATCTTTGCTTTCAACAAGGACAGAGAACAAGATCAAACAAGCTCCCAGATTCTGCTATCTCCGGATTCCACAAGTAGCAGTACAGAAAGCACCAGGAAGGAAAAAGGGGCGGCTAGAGGAAATACACCAAGAAAAAATGAGGACAACTCACTCCACAATATAGGGAAGTCAATAGTAATCTGTGTAGCTGCAGGAAATAGCATGTTCATTTGAGTTAATTAGTCAGAAACCAAACCAACAAAAATAACATATAGACACATTTTAAAGACCAGCAATGTTGTCTGTTTCTCTGCAAGTTAAACAAGCAAAAGCTACCATGAAAATATAAAGCAAGGGCCAATTTTCTCGTGCTTTTGCGGCATGTGCCACTCGCAGAGAATAACAAGTACAATCTTTTAACAAGATATCTTCAAGGTTTATAATTATTAATGCCAAAGAATTAAGTGCACAATTTTTCTGAGTCAAGTTTCTTATGGAACAGGTATAAATGGTCCTCCAGAAAACTTCATTGTCAACAAAGGTCAAAAAAGTAGCATAGGAAGTAGGCTGTCCCATATAATAGTGCGAGTGTCTGAAATATGTGATGGCATGGCTGCCTTCATTTCCCACAAAGTGCAACTTCACCCTAGTCCCCTCAATAACATACATCCACTGAGCTACTCAGTTGATACGGAATTTACCAAATTCTGATATCTCTATCTGTGTTCATGTCATGAGTAGATAGGCCATCTGTTATCAAGTCAGGCTTGCATCTGCCCCTCTAATCAGTTTTGATGGAGGTAGCCCTGTTTCTCTTAAAGATTGGCTGCATTTCATGGAACACAATTCAGTAACGAAGGCAACTGTAGTTTTAGATGTCAATGATTGCTTCCAAGAAAACTTAGCATGTCTTCGGAAATTCTGGGCTAATTATGATCTTGTTGGTGCCGCACATCAATTCCACCCCGATTCTTGTAAACCATTAGGATGATAGAAGATTTTTCAGATAGTATTCAGTCAATTATCTGGCTGTGCCTGGAAAGGTAGTGCAGCTTGGGCAGGCAAGGAATTACTTGAAGGAAGTGGGTTTTGAAAAATGGGGCGGAGGTGCTTTCATCCCAAACAAAAACCTCTTTGGAGCTGAGACTAGCACACACCTGGAACGGCTTCTCACCATGTTTAAGGCAGTGGCCTGACTCATTTTGTTGTCTCCACAGGTTGTCTTTCTTTCACACTTCAGGTGCTGGCAATGTAAGTGTAGCAAAGAATGTGGCACATGTTATGGGCAAAAGTTCATAGTTTTTATATGCAAGTTATCTTTTTATAATCATAAAATAACTAGGATGTATTTTCTGAAGAGCAGAAAAGATTACGTGAGCTCCTAAGAATCATGTTTCTGAAAGTTCTCTACTGCTTCTTGTTTCTCCTTTTACCAGTTAAGCCATGTGCAAGTTGTTGTTTGATAGAGATCGAAAAGGGATTGGATGAGCTTAAATTGAAGAATTGAATTTTATTATTTATTTTAGACTTAGTATTATTTTATTAGTTAAGGAATATTTGTTTGACTAAGAGTATTAATTAGAGTTTGACTATAAAATTATTATAGAGTTTTAGTAGGATAAGGATTTGAGAGTTTGATTATGAAACTCTTTTAGAATTTTAGTAGGAGAATAGTTTTTATTTTGTTAGGGAAATGAGCCTATAAATAATGGTGTAATTCTAACTGTTTTTAATTAGAGAGAGTGATATAATAAAAATTGATTCTCCACGGAGAATGTGTGTTTCTTCACTGATTCCTTACGAGGATGAGGTAACCTCTTCCACCCCCTCTTTTTTCTTCTTCTCATTCTATTATGTGATTTCTATTCTTTCCCGTCTTGCACCAGTTTGGTATGAAAACTTCACTTCGATCATCTCGATTGTGGTGGTGTTTCTTGAGATCCGTCTGTTGTCATAAACCTGGCAGCCCCACTGCCTCCTACATAAAACCCATAACACAAACACCCTCACACCTTCCAAAATTACCTAGAGTTTTTAAAATTACACTTTCACCCCCCAAAAGTTTTAGAAATTATACTTTGGCCCCAAAAATTTCTTAAATTATAGTTTGGCCTCTAAATTTTTGGAAATTACATTTTAGCCCCAGAATTTTTCGAAATTACAGATTGACCTCATAATTTTCAAAAAAAAAAATCTTAAAACTCTCTTCCAATCAATATGGCTTCCAATGCCAAATTAAATCCTAAAGTAGAGGTTTTATCTCACACACAAGTTGATTCACAAAAGGCCACGAATGCTAGACTAGATACAATTCAAGCATCCACCGATTCCTTGAGAGAGCTTGTGCTCGCTACAGTTTATGAAACTAAAACAAGTGAAGATTTTAACTTTATCTCTTCAACTGTCAATCAAAAAGTGCTTGAACACAGCCCTCCAGTTATACCATAAGTTTCACCACCACAAGTTCCACCACTACAAGTTTCAATCCGATTGAATGGAGATAAACTGAAGTTATTCAATGTTGATGAGCCTAAAAGTTCTACTTATACGCATACTACAACAATTGTTTTTGATAAACCGATTGCAAAAAGTGTTCCTACAGATGAAGTTAAGCAAGTTTCAAACGTGATTTTTTTAGATGGAATTGCTACTTTTTCGTCAACATCCTCATTATCCTTTTATCCAGAACAAAGTGTGAAGGTTATAAAAATTCGAGATATAGATTCTTTCCATTGTGATATCCTATATTACGTCACTGAAGGAAAATCTTACTTCTATGCTATCGGGTTTGAAGATGTGTTTCACATGTCAATTCTCTTGGAGTATTCTTGTTACATCAACTCTTTAGAAAAGAGTTTTTTTTTAGCCGAGGAGAATAAATAAAGATCGAAAAGGGATTGGATGAGCTTAAATTGAAGAATTGAATTTTATTATTTGTTTTAGTATTATTTTATTAGTTAAGTAATATTTGTTTGACTAAGAAATTATTACAGAGTTTTAGTAGTATAAGGATTTGAGAGTTTGGTTATGAAACTCTTTTAGAATTTTAGAAGGAGAATAGTTTTTATTTTGGTAGAGAACTTGGCCTATAAATAATGGTGTAATCCCAACTATTTTAAATTAGAGAGACTGATATAATAAAAGGTGATTTTTCGTGGAGAATGTGTGTTTCTTCACCGATTCCATGCGAGGATGAGGAAAACCCCTTCCACCCCATCTTCTTTCTTCTTTTTCTCATTCTGTTATGTGATTTATAGTCTTTCCTATCCTACATCATTGTCTCAGTGCAACTTTAATCTTTTTTCTAGAGTTCTTATTTTCTATTATTGTTATTTGTTATTTATCAGAATATTCTAGTGTAGCACAATATTGTAATTGCATCTGGTATCACTCTAACATAACTATGTGGTGTAGAGTATAGATCAACAATACCATATAAGCATTATATTATTTTCACAATCTCTCTCTTTCTTTTCTCTCAAATCCTAATTTTTAGATACTAAAGTTTCAACTATTTTCTTCGTTGTATATAATCTCTCTGTATATGGTATTCTTAGCCAAAAAGTAAACAATGCCCAAGTCCATATACAACCAGATTCACCCCACACAAATTAACCATCCGCATAAACATGCACCAAATTGTTTTTTTTTCTTGTGCCAAGAGGACATTGCACTAAACATCTGATCTTCCAGAGTATTTGTAAATCCATCATCCATGGTAGACACATGTCTGCCTGCGATTCTGGATATTCAGAAGCTAACAACCATATTTAATCATATGCATGTCTTCCATTGTCAATATACCCAGTTGAAAGCATTACTTCTCTTGTAAACATCCCAACACCTTTGTTCCTGGCAATCCAAGTGCCAAGGAGCATGGATGAAGGAATATGACATATAGACTTAACATCCAACTTTTCTCACAAGCCACTGCCCTTAGACTCAACCATATTCAGATGGTTGAGCATGAGCTTTCCATCAATAGATTAAACATCACATTTCCATTGGACGGTTGAGCAATCTTTCGATAATTATAAAAACTGATTAATACTCCTCTTTGCAATTCCCTTGATTGTGTCTTGGCCATTCAAGGACTGTCCTTGCTTCCTCAACAACTTCAACAGCCGCCCGTCAAAAAAGTGAATACATCAGACTAAAACATGAAATATCACCATTATTTGACAAGCAGATCTCAGGAAGTGGGTGAGTGGTTTTTTCGTTGTTATTGAGATCCAAGAAAGCCATATGTTTGAAGAACTACATGGAGAGGTCCTCAATATTGGTAAGCTCATAGCCACCCTAACCGAGGTGGGTGGCCTAATTAAAAAAGGGAAGTTCCTAGAATCTAATTTGGCAATTGTTTAAAATCATATTTCCATTAATATTTACTTCCTGGTTTCTATTCAAAACTACTGCTTTTTTCACTATAATCCCATTTTGAGAATGACTTTTAGATCTTCAAGGAACTTTTCAATTAGTTCCTTCCAGAGGTACCAAAAATTGTGTGATTGAATGGTAAATGGTTTATCTCTACAATATGCAGAAACTTAAAACTAAAAAATGCTCCATATGGCATATTTGATTATTTCTCATAACTTCTATGGACAAGTAATGGCATATATCTAGCTGTCCCCAGCAATAGCGGGAGTCTCGTGCACTAAGTACGCCTTTTTTTTCTATGGACAAGCAATGGAGTATTCTTATTATATCTACATTGTGATAAGAAATGTTTAAAAGTTGTAGTACATATTGCAAAGAGAGCTTATGTCCACATTGAATTATTAAGACTACCCAATATTAATTTGTATGCTTAAGGGGCCTCTCCATTCACTACCAAATGGTTTTGAATTGGATGCTCAAATATAGTATCAGAAATAGAATTTGGGTGGTCATTGGGCCAAGTCAGTTACCTAGTTGAATTCCCGGTACTCATGGTTTTTGTTTGTCAACACTTAGTCCCACTAGTAAACTTAGTTCCCACGTACTGGATGGCGTAAAGA